AGCTCTGTCAGTATACCTCCTCTGTCAACCTATATATGTATGTAGATTATCAATAGGTCGCGTGACGGTGGTTACATGTGATTGCAAAAACAACGCCAACCAACAGTGGCGTGCATCACGCTCGTGTATAGTGAGCTGTAGATCCGTAGTGAGCATCGTAATGTCTTACTGACATTGATTCACGAATGGCATAATTTAGCAGAAGTGGCCTATATTTTTATATACTTTTATCAATTCTTTAATGTTTAAATGCCTAGACGAATTTCCTATGGATTTGAAAATAAATGTGGAACAGAAGCTTCAAACCAATCTATTACAAAAAGTCGAGTCACACATGAGATAACCATAATATCTTTGCATGACTAAGCAATTCCTGAGAATTTTGGAGGAAAATGGCTGTAGTTTGAACGGCAAATTTCACACTCTGCTTGGCTGCCACCAATCGTCAATAAGTATAAAACACATCGTGCAACGTCCAATCAACATTATTGACCGGGTCTTAATGGTGAGTGGAGAATCAACACGCGAGCCACGGACTGGCCAAACGAGTTACGTTATAAATAATTAATTAATATTTGGCCGGCGAACTCTTTGTTGCCTCAAGGTCGCGGCACCCTATTTTCGAGATTAGAGATGCCTCAGTGGTCGGCCGAATCCAAAAAAATGTATTTATTGTTTTCTATTGAAATTGAAAATAGTATTAAAGAAACAATATCTTGTGTTTAAGTGAAATAATTAAAAATAACAGGATTTTTTATCAGTTTGTTTAGTTATTTATTTGCAAATTAATTCATATGAGCATCATTAAAAAAACTGCCAAACTGATATAGATAAAAATAGGATTATGCTTAGCATAAATAGCTAAAGTCGCTACGACGCTGTGAGCTCAAAAAAAAACTCAAATTTCATATAAATTCGTATTATTATGAACCTCGGTTACCGCTTTACGTGTCAGGTTGTGTGTGAGCTCATTTGCCCATTTTAAAACTCCTAAATTTAATTCGAGTAGAATCGTGGGATTCATCTAGTAAAATCAATACAAAAGTAAACATTTGTTCCGGTTGGTTACCCATTAATTCGATTGAGTTTTTAATAAGTTTATCACCTAATACCATCAACGTATAATAAGTGGCGTCCGAATCTTTCCAGCAACTAGCACCCAAAACAAAGCTTTTCAGGCATTAAATGGTTAATAATTAAATGACTTAACGAACAATAAATAACAAAAGTCATTAACAGAATCTATCAAAACATTAATATATATATCCTTTCATATTAAACACATCAGGAAATAAATTTAAAAAGGTGCATTTAAAAAATAAGTCGTAATGAATTTAATAAATAAAAACCAAAATTCAAATAAAATTTATCCATTAACAATATACCGATTACTGTGTCAATAAGAACATGTGAAGGTTAGGTCACCGTTAGGTGAAGGCGTCAGCTCATCATTCATTTAAATTTAACACTGAGGATTTAATCATTTAAAAGAACCTTTATTAATTTATGGTCGTTTGAGCAATAGTAGTCTACACGGTCAACAATATTAATGCCAGCATCATTAAATTTATAATCCCGCATATCCTACCGTAATAATTCGTTATGAATATGTTAAAACTAAGTATTTCAAAGCGTTTTCTCGAAGGCAAACTTGCTCGTTGCCTCTTATAAATCAGACAAAATATTATCTATAATTGTTAACTTTGCATCTAACTTATTATACTCATTCATATTCATCACTATGATCATAATAAAAACAAATTAAATTACTATTCTGATTTCTTTGTTTTTAATCACGATCATAAACAAAATTATAATGCTTTATTTAACTTATAATAGTCTTTGTAACAACTAATTACAAATTGCAGGCATCCTAAACTTACCTTAAGTAAGCATTGAAATATTTCGTGGGCTCCTGGCGACTTACTCATGTGTTTATATAAAAAAGAAAAACGATCCGGTTGGAAAGGTAAGGTAGTCGACACCCTAATGAAATTGAGACTTCGACCCACATTTCAAATGGCGGACTGGTTTCTTGATTAAACCCTTAACATCACATAGACTGGGGGCTCGTGTGTCAATTTATTTTAACAAACACTTATACCGCCTACTTACACTTAGCACTTTGGTTGCTTGTCTTTACGTGTGGGTGTGGACTGTGGAGGCTTCGATCATTATTTGTAAATTAGTCCCATCTACAATGATCAATAATAGAATTTTATGTAATCTGACAGTATGTAGACTATCGAAAGAATTTTAACAACCTTGCTGTACTTATGATATATTTTGTTCATAATTGTTTATTTAACTCGAAATAGGTATGCATTCAAATAATAATTTTCTATGGGCATTGCAAAAAAAATTAAAAATATCTTTCTATCTGAACAGTGACCTGATACGACGACTGAATTAATGTCCCCAATTCAATTGAAGTGTTTCATTAGCACAAGTGGATGCGATTGCTTCGTTGTTCGAGCTCTAAGCTTGGAACGAAACCGAGGCGCCTTTGTTTGGAACTTTGAATACGAACCACGTGACCGTGGACAAATTACTCCACATTATTCGTTAATAAAAAGAGTCGCATAAGTTGAATAATATTTTTACAAGTACTTAAAAATAAAAAAAATATTCTAAATATACAATTCATAGCTAGCTCAATTTATAGTTAGTAACTTATAAAGAACTGTCGAAATCAATGTAATTGTTCAATGAATTGGAACCGTTTTAAGCGCACACATCAAAACATCGAATTATGCAAAACAAATTTAAAAAACGCATGAAGTAAATTTCATTGAAATTAAACAATAGCTATTCGGCGAGTAACCCTTCGCCTGTTGCCGGGTTCAATTTATAGATCATTTAATAGTTTCCTTACAAACCACTGACACTGCGGGCGTCAGATCGCGACACCGCGTCTGAAATCGGTGGCGTAATGCTATTGTGTTTGTAATTTCCACATGCAGTATAACTTGCATGTTAATTGCGCGGAGTAAACACAACCGCTGGGTGCCAAAATAAATATCGATATTGGAGAACGAGTTCTATCCGAAACCAGCATATCCATATATACAATAAAATTAAGAAATATTGGGTAAACAAAATTAACTAAAGTATCTTCCTTTTTAAGCACATGCTGGAAGTTGGCCTGGCAAAAATAATTAAAAAACAAAAAGTGACCTCCACGGCAACCCTTGATTTGTTCTCTTCCGAACATTATATTACATTAGGACTACCACTAGTTGTCTACACCCGGACGCCTGTATCCTAATACCAAAATTATACACAATATCACAAAGGGGTTCAATTTATTGGAGACAAAGGATGACGGAAATGCTAGCAGTAAGTTATACAAGTAGAGTACAGTACGTAAAAGGCCTCAGGTTGCAGCCAGATTGAGAATACTCTAAATGAGCGTTGTTGGCGTTGAATAATCCGGGCGTAGCTGGGATAGGCTCTAAGGCTACCAGCGAATAGGTAGGGAAAAAATATTTAAAGAGTCCGATATCTGCATCACGTCACTTTCGGCTTAGGATCGTTTACCACGAAACAAATTTACCATATATTTGAAATTAAATATGGAACATTCCTAAAAATGATAAAGTATTTATTTCCTGATTTGGAATCTGTTCTTATTTAAGAAAATATTAAAATTGATCTTGAAATCTGTGGCCTAAAAGTTAAGACTACCACTGTCGAGTACATTTGTGGGACTATACCGTTGCTTTATTGTGGGGATAGGTACGAATTTATATTGAAATAAATATACCTGCCGAAGGATTTGAGTCCCGGCATAGTTGCAATACTGGTTTCAGTATACTGGGCGCCTTATCCACAAGGCGACTGATACTCCACGTGATCTTTCTTAGTGGCTCTACTCATTCACGCCTAACAAGACAAAGAAAGACAAGTTAAGGAAATTAAATGTTCACAATTAATTACGAGAACAGAATTATCCAATTTGCAAAGACTTACCCACCTACCTATCCCATGGTTTCGTCCGATGATTTGAATAATTTAATAATGTGTTCAATAATAGTTTTGTTATTTTATCTAAATTGTCTTAAAAACTGTTTGAAAATACCAGTTTAAATGCAGTACTCTCTGTAAATTATATTAACAAAATGTTAATGACTACAATAGCTAATTAAGGCGGTGCTAGTGTGCACGTTGCTCAGTTGCCGGCGGAAGACAGTGCCGCAATATCAATTGTCTGGTTACTGCTTGGCATTGTTTTTAATACTTTGAACAAATGGCCATTATTACTATGAAAGTCTAAACGTGCGACCGAAACTATTCATACTCAAAGACATTCGTCAAATGTACTCGGCAAAATATTTTGTTCAAAATATTTTTTCTTATAAGTTTTTTATCTATACTAATATATAAATCTACAGTGGTTTCTACCGATGTTCAGTAGTTTGAGAAGCGGGCGAGTACGGCTAGTTGTTTTATAATTTTTTTTGTGTAATTTTTCCCACGAATGCTGTAAAATTAGAAAGGGAATACTTTTACAGAGCAAATCTCACCAACATTGTAAATAATGCTGTTTGTGTTATCTTTTTGCATTTCTGAAAAATTTTACGAGCAAAGCTACCGTAAATACAAGTTGATCTGTCTAGTTTTCCGTGTAGCCCGCCAGCACGGTGTGGTCTACGATTTACTTTCTTATAGGAAGTGCTATCACTTTCAACGAATACCGGTTAAGCTACCAACTTTGTGCCTCGGGAACATGTTACAGACGCGATCTACCGAGGCATAAAGTTTTACATTTTACTGTTAATCGATTTGCGGTACTGGAAAATATTCAATTTTCATTTATCGAGACTTTTGATGTAAATATTCCGCTGATGTCGTTTGTATCTTGTTAAAGAATTACGTTATTATGGCACCCATTTAATATTTTGTCAGAGTTTATATTGCATGAATTCCGAAACGACTTAATACCAAATTTTATTCACTTATGTACTTTTTTTTAATAAACTTGTTTCTCCCTTTTACAGGTTAGTCCCGAACTATTGTGTTTGCTACAAAATGAAGTCGAAACAAACGTAAGTCTAACTAATTCTGATTTAAACACTAAATATTATGTTCATAGATAAATGAACATCCAAATTTCTTATCTATTCTTATTCATAATTCCTCAGTACGCTCGTCACTAATGCACACTATAGTATTTAAATGAAGTATTTTATGGTAATACATTATAAGACTGCGCTTAGTTCTAAAGATTTCCATTACGTCGTTAAACAACGAATTGAAGTACTGAAGACGTTCTTCGCAGAGAACGTTTTCCCATAATTACCTGTTGCGAGTCACGTTATATAGTAATTCACGGGGAAAGTGTAACCCGGTAGTGACGCAACAATAAAATTTACGCGGACAAAGGAATTGTTGCACTTTGACGCTCGCTCTGAGGACAACCGTACTAATGACACTAACAATAATTATTTGTACTCGTGCGTGACGTGTTGTTCGTCTTCATAACTCCTCGCTTAATTCAAGAACGTCAGAATATTCCGTAAGAACATTATTTTGAATTGTTGCCACTGAAATACGTAGTGTACGTGACCATAAAATACAAATGCAAAATCGACATGTATTTAAAAGAGAGGTTCGTGTGTAATGTGGCATGGCATTACGCTCATGACCGCGCTCGCCAACAACATTGTTTACCTGGTCGTTTTCTGCAAATCTGACTCGGAACCGAGTTCTGCTTCGTCTATAAATAAGGAGGTGCTAAAAGCGGGCAGAGCGGGAGACGTGCTTTTTTCGCTTTGAGCAGCCGGGGGTAAACAGAGCAGGGCCCAACGAAGCCCTTTGTTGACATTCGGTTTACGGCCGCTCCATCTTGACTAGACGGCTCGCACACAGCTAATATAACATCGAGAGTGGCAATGCCCACTTGTTAAAAACGAAAGGTTGAATGTGTATGTTTTGCGGTAGGCAGCGGCTTGGCTCTGTCCCTGGCATTGCTGAAGTCCATGGGCGACGGTAACCACTCACCATCAGGTGGGCCGTATGCTCATCTGTCTACAAGGGGAATAAAAAAAAAACACCGTACGACCTTTCATCACATGGCAACACCTGCACGTCGATATATTTTGCACGAAAAGACTACATACATACATCAACCTTGTATGCTTTAGCGATGCCAATGAACTTCTCATAATAAATATTGTTCATGTTGAAAACGGAATTTATTTATCTGGAAAACGAGAATGAATAGATAATTTTGTAAAATTCTCGAAACTAACCATGTAAATGTTCATACGTGATTTCCGTTGTATAATAGTTGACTACACCTACTTCATTGGACACGAGTCCATTGTTTTGTTAGAATTAGCGAAAGGTTTTACTCGTTGGATTTTAATACATACCGTTTGAAATGTGATGGCATTTATACCATAGTCGGGGAGGTCTCGCATTGCAATCACGCCGCGTCGGTTATCTGCATGCGAGCTGTACACCACGCGTCCGGTCTTACTCATCTAACAAACAGACTACATGTGAACTCTTTTGAATGTTTATTACATTAATATTACGATTTTACTAATGCCGCATATGTATTATATTTTCTAGATGACTCATAGTTTTTATTATAGATTCATAACGTCGTGACATGTCTTGATGTGTAGAATAAAAAAACATGGCGTGTGTCCACCGTATTCAAAATTAAAATAATCATTATAAATGTGATAATGTAGAGTCTGTTATTTGAATCGCGTTGTCGACGTTGGAAATTGTTATCGCTCTGCGGGAGAACATTGCTGCACTTGTTTCATGTTCTATTTTAATAGTTCAATTATTCAACCGTTCCCCATTTAAATAACTCCAAACGTTTCAGCAGCACTGACGCTAAATAAAGAAAATATTACACTTTGTTTACTGTTTCGCTTCGTTTGACTATAAGAATCTCATATCAAAATCGACAATTTTTACATAAAACTTTTGATGACAGGACATAATGCAAGCGAAACTATCCAATTACCGTATAGAATCTATAATCATTTAACAACATCCTACTTCCTTTCTTAGTGTACACAAATCTGTCGGGATCAAGGGACGACCCGTAAACTTTGAAAGGTTAATGACAACGAAATCATTACTGACTGACTCTGGACAGGTCCGAGAGGGGGACTACGTTATTGTGGTCATTTTCGCGCAATCATTCAATAAAAATGATAGGATCAATCGGAGACGAGACGCTCCCTCTGTTGACTCCACGGAGAAATGGACTAATTCCTTAAACCGCTCTCAACGACAATGTTCCGTGCTTGTGATTCAATCGTTATCTGTCGAATACTTTTGTAATGTAGGTCTGTTCTCGCACGTAGAAAGTAATTCTTAGTTGATGGAACCGGACCATAATATATGGTATTCTAAGCCAGTTGATGATCATTTTAGTAGGAATACAATGTTAAAGTTATCTATTTTCTATAGAGGAGTGTAGTGTTTTATTGTGGTCTACAGTTTTCACTATATATAAAAATCGGTAAAAAACTTAGCATAAAGCATTATTCCTTGTTTTTTTGTTTCCGAATTGCCCAGGTCGACTCTTTTCTTTTTCTCGAATATGTTATTAATAGTTCAACCTATTATGCACATTAAAAATCTTGTCGAATATAGAACGCATTTGATTAAAAGCAATTAACAGTCAATTAGGAGTTTGAGTAACATCGCCGTATCAATTGTCGCAAGGCAGACTCTTAATTACTTGNAAAGCATTATTCCTTGTTTTTTTGTTTCCGAATTGCCCAGGTCGACTCTTTTCTTTTTCTCGAATATGTTATTAATAGTTCAACCTATTATGCACATTAAAAATCTTGTCGAATATAGAACGCATTTGATTAAAAGCAATTAACAGTCAATTAGGAGTTTGAGTAACATCGCCGTATCAATTGTCGCAAGGCAGACTCTTAATTACTTGAACGATGTCCGTTGTACGATCCAACAAATTATACCAGTGTAACATTTAAAATACAAAATGGTAGATGTATCAATATGTAACTTTTGGAGGGTATTCGACATTATTTTAAATGTCGATACATGTTTAAGATCGAGGTTTAAAATTTATTGGTAAAAATAGCGTTATTTGACGGCAACGACCCCGAAATATTCTCTGAATCAGATATCGCATTTAGCAAGAGTATGAGATCAAAAAATACAACCGAAGGTGTAAATTTTTTCTGATTTCAAACGTAAATACATGTTGCTCTTGTGGTGCTCAGCAAGTTCGATAACCTCTGCCAATAACAACATACCCAAAACTAATGTCTCTTTTTACCTATCGCAGATTTCTTAAATAATGAATATTAATAAAAGTAGGTATACATTTAAATCGTAATTAGTTATTCAAATTTTGGTACAAATCATAGGAAATTGTTGCATTTATCATATTGTCCAATAGCTCTTTAGAACCTGCATATTTTGAAATGGTGTAGTCGTTGTTATTATGCAACTGCTGGTGTGGTTATAACGAGAGCCACAAACACAGACTCGAGCGGACGGCGTGTTTGCCGCGTTGACAACATTACCCGCCCGCTAACTATATTGTACACATCGAGTCATAGGATGCTTTTGCTACCTTCGATTTTTTTATCGTTGTACTCTGCTTCACTTGAAAAAATTATGATTAACAAGTAAACATGCGAACTGTGTTGTCGATCGGTCTGTCATTTCGTCCACTTAAACTGATTTTTGAAGTAAGACGAACACGTGTTTGAACACATGGCTGTGAAAATATTACTATATAGGGAGCTACGCGAACATACGGGCTACCACCGTACTACACTCATAAGGCGTCAAGTTATCACAACGCAACGACCGTAGTTGCTTGAAATCGACAGTGATTACGATTTTCCCTAGAGGTTGGTTGCGCGAGCGCAACGTCCGATGGAAAGCAGCGTTTAACCAATGTTCCGCTCTGATAACTCTCTAATTACGGCTCGGCTGTTTTCCGTCGACACTTGGCCGCCACTAACTTAACCCCTAGCTTTTCACTGCAACATTTCACCCGCGACTGCGCGATACGCTTATTCGTTTGTTACACTTTCCCATTTAAAGTCACTTCATGGTCATATTTCATTGCTCTGTTGACAATAATATATTGTTCACTTCGAGTACCCTTAAAGTATCGTTGTGGTCTGACGTTTTTAGGACGAAGTTTTCCTTTGTCATTATTGTCTTTTGAAATTTGATAAATGTATTAAATTATACTTAGAAAAGGCTAGTATATGCTTTGCACTAGTTATGAACAAAACGACACTAATTATTGTCGAATGGTATATCTTGTAATTCCTACAAGATATCCATCTTTTATTATGCACTCTTAAGAATAAATGCGTTACACGTTGTAGTTGTTTAATATGTAATTGCACATGAAATCTAAACATCAAACAATTTGGTAGGAATTCCGATATACAATACTATGAATTGATTTTAGAGGCGATATAAATGTTTTGTCAGTTGTGATCCTACATATCGGTGTTAACGTGTTTACGATACCCGGACGAAGTAAATGCGCATAGAATAAAAAAATAACGTGTCATTCACATCGATCGAGGCCGCATCGGAGATGTGGTGTGGCATACATTATGGATAAGATAGATAAAGCTTGAATCCCTTGTCAAACTGCATCGTAATGTAATATTTAGATTAGATACTCGTATATGTAAGTTAACTTACGATTCCCAAGTGATTTTACGAACACCAAACAATTTACAAGGGCTCAGTTGATATGTACCTAATTCATTAGAAAAAACGTTTATGGGAATCAAAGTTTCCTTCTGGTATTGATAACTGTGAGATAATGGCTCATCGACACTTTGTTAAACAACGCGACGCGCAATGCGTTTGTATATAATCATAGCGTTTGTACATGCTGTATGGTGTCAACCGCCTCTTGCGTGAACGTTTCCATTGTTATGGTGATACCGGCGAGCGACAGGTTCGACGCTCTGTCGAAACAAAAGACAACACCGGTATTTGCATTTCTGAGCAACTAGCGACGCCTCTGAAATGGGGAATATTTTTCAAAGAAAAAAAACTTGAATAGTTAATAATTCATGCTAGAACTGGAAGAATTATTAATTAATATAATAACAATAAAATTTAACATAACCTTACACTTGAAATTAAGCACTTTCTGTCTCTGCTAATTGGTAATCACCACGGCAACTTGATGTATCGAAAACGAACCCATTTCGAGCAGGTAAACGTCCAACGAGTTTTTGTTCGCTCTCAGGTAGCCGACCCTTCGAGCCAGATTATTTTTTTGTATAGCGCGGGTAATGGCATGCTAAAGGTATACGAATCGGAATAGAAAAGTAGATTTTAAGTGCTATGCACAAAGTTCAAACTCTTAAGGTACGAGATAATTTTCTTCTACCTGATCTAAATAACCCTAATTATATTTTATGGTCACTTACTATTCAAATTAATGTTGCCTTTGAATATTTAAACAGTACGACAGTAACCTTTTATCTATCATACTAATATATACATATTATGTAATAACGTATACATATTGCAACGACTTTTGTTATCCATAATGTATAAACCTACTAAATACTAGAGTAAATTAATGTGCTATCACAATATAATTAAAGAGTATTTTTTATTACTATTTCAGAATCAAACTCGACCAGTGCAGACGATGAATGGGAACATAGGCGGTGCAATTGGACCAATCGGTGCTAACTCAGTCTCAAGTGGTCTAAGCTGGGAGCAGCATCCAGTGCTGTCGCGCGCTTCCTCTGTACCAGCGCATCGTGCCTTAGCCGGTCTCTTAGACCGTCTGGGTCATCGCCGTCTCGAACGCACCACCAGTGAACCGGCTCCTCCGCCACCAGCCACAAGTCGCTACAAGACCGAGCTCTGCCGACCGTTTGAAGAAGCGGGGGTTTGTAAATATGGGGATAAATGCCAATTTGCTCACGGCGTCCGCGAACTACGCAATCTTCAGCGTCATCCTAAATACAAGACGGAGCTGTGTCGCACTTTCCATTCGGTTGGCTTCTGTCCTTATGGACCGCGTTGCCATTTCGTGCATAACGCAGAGGAAGCAAGACGCAGAGAACCATCGTCGCCAGGAGGTTCATTGGCATCGCTCTCATCGGGCGGATCTATGGCGTCGTATATGAGCGACGGGTCGCGATCGCCACGCTCGCCGCATTCTCCATTGACGCCTCACTCTCCACCTGCGATGTCGCCACCAGCACAGGCCACAGCTTTCGCTTTTCGCCGCACGAACTCCCCCGATCCGGAAGACGACCGACTGCCCGTTTTTAACCGACTCTCATCGGCTCTCGGCGATCTCGTCATCGCTTAGTGCGATGGACTAGTCCTAAGTTAATTTATACCGAGTATAGCATAAGAATCGTCCGACACCGTAGTGCCTCCTCGACGTCTTCCAGACCGCGCACGAGCGACGTCCCGGTCGCCGCGCCTCGCGCATTTGCACACCCGCTCAACGAATGATCTCCTGATGTTTATCGATGGTCTTTTGTTAATACTTTCGACCAGTAATAAATCTTTAACATTTACGAAGTGTTCACTGGCGTCTCGAAAGTTTGCGGTGTGATTAGTTTGTTACGTTCAATTTTAGTTATCGGCACGCACTTGTACATGGCACCTTTATTATTATTAGATATTTATTAGCTCGCGGAAGTCTTCCCGATGCGATCCTCCGCCGAGCGGTGGTCTCTGTAAAGTTAGCTTTTAGAACATTATTTATTTCGTACTGCCTGTCCGCGCTCGGTACCGTACCGCGAGAAGGCGCTCGTGATCTATTTTTAAGTGTATAAGATAATAATTTATTATTTATTTCGAGTCTCTTAACTTTAATAATTATTTTGTAGCTAGCTGCTGCGATGCCACACCGCATACGGACGAGGCCTGCGTCGCTGGGACGTGGCTCGTTTTGATACACAATGAGGCTGATTCTGACCCAAACAATTAACAATCTCAGTCCTGTAGAACTGTGGACGGAATCAGTTGATGTTCTTTACCTCGAGAGCTCGGCCTGACAACATTTAAAAAAAATTTGGTGACTTAAAAGGAATTGATACGAATGTAATAAATGCCGAATATTAAATCGCTGTGGCGAAGTTTTAGTACTGCACAAATCCTCTGTAATCATATCTATGAATACAAAACGCACGTAACGTCGCCTCCTCTCCTCTCTCGACCTGTCTGGAAAGAATGATTTTTTTCTTTCGTGCCGCCGAGGCGGTCATCTTAAACCTGTTTGGTGTTTAGGTGATTGTTTTTTCGAACTCACTCCGCAGCGCTACTCCCTTGCATCGTCGCTGGAGAATTATAGAAATCTGTAATCGTATCTGTCTGTATCTAAAAAAAAAACTCTACAATCCTTGAAATTGAACGGCCGAACTCTGGAGGTCTCGTGCACCGCAAAACTTGAAAGAATATCACATAAAGCATGTGTATAATGTTGACGAACTTTAGCCGTAACACGTGTGTTGTCGGCGCGAACGAAGGCGACAATCGTATCTTGAGCTTCCACGTCTGAGATCCGTCGACGACACACAAAACGAATCGTGCCTTTAAACTAAATACGATTATATTTAACTTTTAATTTATCGAGATAGATTGATTGTTTATTTATTGTCTGCTTTGAATAATATATTCAAAATTGGCACAGTTATTATTTTTGTACTTGACCGAACTAAATATAGTTTCGATATATAGCATAGTTTTTTTTTTCTTTGAATTTAAAGTGTGATATTTTATAATATTTATGATAACAAAGTCTAATTTTTATTGTAAGGGACCAATAGGTGATTAGCAGAAATTCTGAAGAAAACATTAAATAAGAACAGCGTAACGCTTCCGACCATTTCCAAGACATATCCTCGCCGCGCTGATGTATTTTTATTAAACAGATCTAGATTTTGTACTTTCAATAAATGACATATTACCACAGCTGGCTTCGTGTTTGATTATTGTGAGTTCGTAGACCGAGATGGTATTTTTTTTGTTTTGTTTAGTAAGAGCATAGTTTCTGTTTCCTCCATGTGTTAGTCTCGATGCATTGTGACACCATTAAATGATAAATAATTTTGTACCTAATGTTAAGTGACTAATTAGTTATAAGATTTCATAAAGTACGCGAATATTATTTATTATCAGTTCATTACGTTTTTATAAACCATAAAACCTGATTTATTTAATTACTTTTGTATTTAAACGGACATTTAACTACTGCGCTTAACATGTTTTGTAATATATCATGAGTCATTTAATATAACCCGCATTAGTTTAAAACGATTAGTACCTATTATCAGTTATAATTTAAGTATTTAATTTTTTTTTGTAATTTAATTTCAATTTTTAAGTTAATCTTCCAAATAAAATTGACTACGTTTTCTATATTTTCTTATGGACAAAATTAAGGATAAAAGCTTGTTTATGACATTTTTATTTCTTGTAAGTTTTCCTTATTTCCATCTGCATTTTTATTGAATTATAGTCAAAAATATGTTAATTTTTGTTTTCATTTTGTTTNGTATTTAATTTTTTTTTGTAATTTAATTTCAATTTTTAAGTTAATCTTCCAAATAAAATTGACTACGTTTTCTATATTTTCTTATGGACAAAATTAAGGATAAAAGCTTGTTTATGACATTTTTATTTCTTGTAAGTTTTCCTTATTTCCATCTGCATTTTTATTGAATTATAGTCAAAAATATGTTAATTTTTGTTTTCATTTTGTTTTTATCGTCGCCCTTCCAAGATACCTTTTCCTGATAAAATCCCAGTCCCATTAATTTCCAAATTACGAGTGTGACACCAAAGTATTATTCATACGAGTCATCTGTGAGAATACTAAGGTTTCTCGAATGATATATATCTAAATAATAATAAGTCTTTACCTATGATGTTGCCGTTTTAGAATACTGGCCATCTAGACATCATTTAAAATAGTATAAATAAAAAATATTTATATATATATGTAGTACAAATTCTAAATTCAAACGAATTTCATTTAAAAAATATGGAGTTTATTGATTAGTGTTTTGTTTTCACTACATTTGTATCTTTTTCATTACTATCTACACTATTAAAATACGGGCAATTTGGAAATAGGACTTCTTCCCAGTAGCAATGGCGCATAAACGGCTGAAAACGCCTACAGAGTGAATTCTACAAATGAACACAGAATTCGTTATTGATTTGAACATTTCCAACATGGAAAAATTATCTCAAAATGAACCTCTTTATCGCTCGAAAACTAAGTTCAACAACGATGAATGAAAGGCGATAGTGGAAGCTGACGATACTCAGCTTTCAACTTTAGCATCAAAATAATATTGGTCCATTTGGCTATAAATTGGCAAGGTAAAAAAAACTTTTTAAATGGGTGAAAGGCAATTTGGACCGTAATGTCACTTGCGATGAACATTGATTCTTCTTTATAATCGTAAGCAACCTCAGACGGCACAATAGACGGGTTGGAAGTTTTGCGTCATCCACCGTACTCACCAGACCTTGCACTGGTAGACTTCTACTTGTTCTAAAAGCCTAAACTGGGCATGGAAAAAATTCAATAACCGAGAGGCAGTACAAAATTGAAGAGTTTGTTGGCTTCTCAAAAAGGGCATTGAAAGATTGGGACCGCGCTGGTATCAATAGCATCGGTACATACCTATTTTTATTGAAATAAAAAAGTATTTGTACAAAAGGAGTAATTTTCTGTATACTAAACGGCAATTATTTCCATATGCCGGCATATATAATTAATATTATTATCTAATGATTATGATGAAAAGGACACAATAGACATATAACCCTATTGATTGATATTATAGAAGAAAATACATATAAACAAATAATGCAAAATATGAATAAGTACACTAAATTTGTGTCTGCAGATTAGTATGAGAACCAGAAAGAAACAGCGAAAGTATTTATTACTATTGCGTACATAATCTACCTACAATAAGAACGTATGTACGTACGTAATATCCGCTTTGTGTTGAGAAACTGCAGATACTTCATTTAAAACATTCAAGTATAGTTGTTATTACATTCATTTGCAGTAACTACCCTCTGATGTTAAGAATTTACTGAAGCCTGCAGGCAAAACTAAGCGAATTAAGTGGCCCATCTGAAGACTAAATGGAAGTCTCAATAGAATTATAATGCCTCGCAGAGACATTAGCAGAATGCAGGCATGAATACGGGTATAGAAAGTAGGAAGATATATCCCTCAGCAAATTTAAAATACCTTCCTCCTCCACCTATAAATTTAGCTACTGGAGCAGAAAGAATCGAGGATGCAGAGAGCGATTAAGATAATAGATAGTATGTAAATGTCACACCCTTATTTATCTACGAAATTCTATTCACAATACAGTATAAAATGATGCTGGCTATGTACCTATTAAATACTGCAGTATTTATTGTTTTTTATTGCTTAGAAGGGTGGACGATCTCACAGCCCACCTGGTGTTAAGTGGTTACTGGAGCCCATAGACATCTACAACGTAAACCTACAACTCACCTTGAGATATGAGCTCTAAGGTCTCAAGTATAGTTACAACGGCTGCCCCACCCCTCAAACCGAAACACATTACTGCTTCACGGCAGAAATAGGTAGGGTGGTGGTACCTACCCGCGCGGACTCACAAGAGGTCCTACCACCAGTAAAATTCGAACAATTACTTGGTAATATCGATGGAAAGAATCAAAACGAGTAATAAGTTGTAGAGGAGTAGTCCTCTCATGGCTTAGTAAGTAGTAGTAGTAATAGAAAGTAGTACCTGAGCCAATAGGCTCTATATCCGTAGCTGGGTATCGGCTTCCAACCCATCTTGAGACATGCCGTTGAATTCGCAATTGTAATCTATAACGGCGTTCCTAACATTCAAATGATAGATGGAACAAATGACTACTGCTGGCAAAATATAAACAGTAAGGTGGAACAAAAGCATGTGGTCTCACAATATAATAAAGTTATATGTTTAATTATATTTAGAATATAATTATTCTTTCGTAGTAGCTCATGTAAACATGTATTCAGTGGCTATTTACCCATATAATATTGTGACTGCCACAGGATTTGAATCTGTGACCTAGTAGCATTGTATCTCTGGATAATAGATACACAAACCATCTTACGATTAGGCATTAAATAATACAACTATGATTTTTTTTTATTTAAATGAAAACGCTGTTTTCACTAGCTAAAATAGATAGATTTGTCTAGACGCTAGTGATTGAAGAACTACGTTTCCAAACGTAAACGTTACGTTTTGCTAAGATTTCAACTAAAAATAATAAAAATTACAAAAAATATTTTTTTACAGTACCTAATCACAAAGATCATTAATCGAATTTTAATTTAACTAAATATTCTGAGTGTTTTTTGTGGTTAATGAATTATTTGTAGTAGTGTAGAATTTTCTTGGCAATAAGCCAATTCATTCACTCTGACGTATGACTGCACTAGCACCATCTAGTGGTGGAGATTTAAATAAAATTTTGAAGTGTGTTTGCTTCTTCAGTACCTAACAGATATTAATAACTATAGATAATTTAGTCAACTATTATCAAAGCCGGCAATCTGACTTTTAGACAATTATTGGTAAATCAGAAAAACGAATTATTGACTTTGTATTCCATTGGCAGTCACAAAACTCTTCGGAACGACATCTTAGATAAATAACAGATTAACTATTAACCTTTATTTAATGCAGGTTTTGAATCGTATTCTTTGAAGGAGACGATTATATTCAAATCAATCTGTACATATCAATAACATTTTTTTGTCCAAATGCACAGATTGCCACCTTTGATAATAGACGACTCAATTACACTCATAGTGAATTTGTTGTTATGCATATGATAAGGAAAATGTTTAATTAAAAATTAACAGCATTCATATTAGCTTAGAAACTAGTTTTTATTAACTTATAAAGTATGACGTCAGATGTGCAAGCGTTGTATCACTTGATTTGGTATATCTTGTGCCTATGTCTAATAAGGCTGAAAATATATTGACACATGCACAGAACCTGTCACATGAGAAGCACGCTTTATTATAGCTGGGTAAAGTAGCAAGTCTAGGAACGCCTATCTATATTAATATTATAAAGCTGAAGAGTTTGTTTGGTTGTTTGTTTGAACGCGCTAATCTCAGGAACTACTGGTCCGATTTGAAAAATTCTTTCAGTATTAGATAGCCCATTTTTCGAGGCTATATATATAACATCACGCTAAGACCAATGCAAGCGGAGCACCAATAAAGAATGTTTTAAAATCTGGGTTTTAATCCCTTTTGAGAGCTTCCTCTGCGTAAATGAAGAGGTGGGTAAAATTTAGCGTTATGCCAAAGTAACTATTACACGTGGACGGAGTCGCGGGCGAAAGCTTGTTAGTACTATAAGTTAATCAGTATTTTAGTAATGAGCGACGATTCATTACAATTACGTGCGACGTTATGACGATTCTGGACTAATCTAGATTACTCAATTTGTAATGTAGTGAATTATACTACAATTACATCCTATAATTTCTTTAGAAACACGGTCGAAATTTCACGTATCTCTACAGGCAAACCTGTATCAATTCTTCGTTCTATGAAACAGACGGAATGGTGGCTCATATGGGTCTTTATATTAATTTAGTAGGGTATTTAGATAATGACAGTATCATTTTCTCCTCTGTTTGCAAACCGATTTTCTTTTTAGTATCTATAGACAAGCGTTCATTTTATATACTATTTTATTGAAGTGATGAGTTCTTTTTAAATTGCCAAGAACAAAATACAAAAAGTGGTAGATAAAATTCATCTAAATCTTT